GCTGGGTGTGCCTTGGGACAGCAGTGAGTGGACACTTGTCTTTGAATTTCCTTCAGTTCTGCTGATTTCTTTCAGCTCTGAGCAGGCATACATGAACGTTTTGAATCTTGTCCCACCCATTTCAGCTAATAAACCATTAATTGCTTGCCCTCTGCAACGCTGGCCCTGTAAATGTTTTTAGCAGCCACGGGAATAGCTTTTAAGTGCTTTTCAGGGAATCAGTAAACAACATTTTGCCACCTTCGTGGGGGACACCTTTCAAGCTCTAGACTCCTCAAGTGTAGCTTCACGTGTTTAATTAGTTTAAGACATAATTCTTTGGTAATGTAATCCTGCCTGGGTTGATGAGTAAGACTGCACTACAAAAGTGCCTTCTGCAAAATATTTGGGGCTGGAAAGAAATGCAGGAAAAATTTCCCATCTTTTCTGAGGGATTCCTTACAAAAATTGAGTGTGGAATGAAGTCTCTTCTTCTGCTCTTCTCAATAAAAAAAGAAAAATCTCGTAGCCCTCCTGAATGAGCCACCTGGGCCACAGGCCCCATGTGCAATGAGCCCTGCAGATCCACCCAGGGACCACGGGCTCTTCTCCAGACTGCCTGGCACCCAGGCTGCCCAGGGCAGTGACACTCCCTGCAGGCACAAAGCCAGCTAAAGGGCACTGACCTTCTCCAGGGGCACTTGGGAACCTGGGATGGATGGCTGGGGCAGCTCAGCTGCAGTTCAGCAAGGGTTATTGCTGGGATCCCACCAGCAGCCAGAGCTGGCTGGTTCCATCATATCCGAGGAGATGGGGCTTTAGGTTGGAGCATTTAGGGATTTATCTTTTGTCTGAACAAAAAGACACCATAAACACATCAGAAATGAAATGCTGAGCATCCGAGAGAAGCATCTGTACAGGTGCTGTGTGGGAGATTTCAGGTGAACCCTGGGGGTCTTGCACACCCAGAGGAGGAAGGAGGCTGGACTGGAGGAGACTGCATGTCCTCATGGAGTGTGTTGGCAGTGCTGGTCATGAGGAGAAGCACAGCTTCTGGAACCCAACAGCACCAAGTACCTTTGCTCCATCACTGCCCTCCTGATGCTACAAGAGGGAAGGGGGTATGGAGCACAGCTGCCATATTTCAACCAAAGAGTATGTGCCAAGAGGGTCTGGCTGGAAAACAAGTGCCCCCACACAACGAGGGTCTGGCTGGAAAACAAGTGCCCCCACACAACGAGCCTGCCAGCAGCCTCAGCATGGAGCAAGATGAAGACCCTTGGCAGCATGCCTTGTGTCCATTGCTGCCTTTTCCTCATTTTTCCAGGCTAACTGCTGATGAAAGGAGTTGTAGCCACTCTCATGCTGCCCTCCTACATGCTCTTCAAGAGGTTGCTGCTGAGGTGCTGATCTGTACCCAGTGGTACCATGGCACCAGCCCACTCTGGCTGTTGGGTATCACAGTGATTCCACAGTATGTTCTGAGCTGGAAGGGACCCACAAGGATCATCGAGTCCAGATCTTAAGTGAATGGCCCACACAGGGATCAAACCCACACCCTGGGTGTTATTAGCACCATGCTCCAACCAGCTGAGCTGATCACAGGATGATCACATGGAACCTGCCAGGATTTCTCAGTCTGCAGGCCAGGACTTTATTCTTCTTTCTTTCCAGAAGAAGTATCTGGTCACAATGATGAATAATTTGTTAGAAGGCCATCCCTGGCAGCTGTTTGAAATGCTTGCCCCAAAACAGACCCCCATCACGTGACATTTGCAGATCAGCTTCTCAGAGGCACAGCAAGGGCACAACCCCCCCCATCTCATTCAACATGTCATGGGTGCCAGTAACTGCTTTAGTAAACTCTGTCAGACCAAGGTGCCCTCAATTAAATATTGCTGCCATAACTGCATTGGCAAGATGCAGTTATGGCAGCAAAACTCCAAAAACCAAAATTCAGGCTCTGTCAGCAAAACCATTGTTGTAGAGCTCAACAAGCCAACAGATTGGCTCCAGTAACATTGGTCAGGGGAATGTACAATTATCTAGTAAATCTTGCTGGCATACACCACATCACTGCCAAAGGCCACTGCCAAAGTAACTGTCCCAAAAAGCTGCAGATCCACAGACTCCTCTGCTTCAGGCAACAGCTGGGTCTGATGAGGGTGGGTTGGTCCAGGAGGGGAGCTGGCACTGAGGAACTGGGAGATTTCAATGCCTGCCCCTTCTGTGGCATTGGCTCTCCCTCAGTGGGGCACAGATGGGAAATGCATTCCCCAGTCCCTGATGCTGCTGGGGGGTTACAGAAAGCTGCTTCTCACCAAAAGCCTGACTTCTTGCTGGGTGTCACATACAGAAAAAGGTGAAGTGCTGTGATCTTTGCTTTTTATTTTTAGAGTATTTAGTTCAAAGTCAACCTATTTTTGGTCATCTAAGCAAATATTCTTGGGAAGGAGGATGTAACAGCCCTTGATTAACCCTCCTTTTCTAACAAGCCTTTAAGGCAGAGAAGCATCTTGCTGTCTGATGCTGGAGCCCAGATCCTGGGTCCTACCTGTTAATCCAAGCTGCTGCAACACAGCAAAAGTGCCCTCTGAGCTGCTAATACCTTAGCTGCCCAAAGCCCATTCATCCCTAGGGGACCAGATCCTCTCCCAAGTGCTTGGATGGCACCTGCTAATTCATCTCACCTGCTGAGGTGATTCTCTGAACACTGCTCTCAGGTGAATGACTGATTTCTTTGCATTTACTGATTCCTCTACCAGTTGCCCAGGGTGGGAACTAGAGACCTGCCCAGGTTTGATACTGGTCAATGCTTTAAAAATATTTCCAGACTGAATGAGGGATTTGCTGTATCCTGTACAGTGTTGCAGAATGGATGAGGCATCTCAAAACCAGGATCTCTGGACATAACTGAGGTTTGTTTCCAAATGCACAAAAGGGTTGCCAAAGGACAGAGTGGCCTTCTTTCCCGAAATTTTACTCCAGCAGTATATAAAACCTCTCTTCTTCCGTGCAGTCAGATGTTTACACAAGCAAAAGTATCTTGGGAAGTGCCTTTTGTAGATTTGGACCTTTTTCACTCTTCTTAAATGATGAGAATTTTTGTTCATTACTTTGAGACTGAGGTTGTCTGCAGTCCAACACTAATAGCAGAAATGTGCCATTTACACCAATTAAGCATTCAACTTAATGCCTTTATATAGCTGATTTGTAGCAGAATTTGGTCAGATTCTGCTCTCATTTAAACCTCATGTAACACAGTATAATGGATATGAAAGCAGAATTAGCTTTCTGGTTTTTTTTAATAAGCCATTGCAGATATTCCAGCTGTAGACTCATCACTCACACCATATTCCCGTCTCCTGCTTGGCTCTGCTTTTACTGTCCCTGTCCCAGAACTTCCTGTTCTCTGCTGTATTGTAAGAGAGACATACAACCCATACCACATATACAGTACCACCAGGGGAAATCCCAGCCCAGAGAGGGACTATGTTTTAAAGACATGATTTAAGATGGCCAAGTTGAGCACTCAAAAGTAAAAGGCTCCATTAAGGCTGTAGCTTGGACACATCCCCTTATGCATTTGTGTGGAGCTAATGTCTTTGATTTCCAGGAAGCCGTCATATGTCTCTGTCAGGACCACATGATATGGAAAATTTCAGTCCAAATATTTAAGCTGTGAGCACACTTCTGGGAAAAACAGAGTCTGCTTCTCCTCGGAGACATTCTCCTTGGAGATACCTGCCCTCTTCTTTTCGTGGGAGAATGCATCTCCTCCTGTCACTGCAAGACAGCCCTGAAGGAAGGTCCAGGTGGAGGTTGTGCTCACCACCATCAGATGGCCCTCAGAAGAATGGTCAGTCAGGAACAGGACACCTGAATTGTTCATAGAACAGCAAACCATTCCCAGCCAAACTCTTTCCCAGAGTGACTCTGTATAGATCCAGCTGCCCGTGTGTGCTGCAGGGCACACACTGAGGATGCTCACACAAGCACTGACACTGCTAACCATGAATAACTCATGGCCCTACTGTGCTGGAGAAAGTGTCTGTGCAGTAAAACCTGGTTGAACTTCACTACTGCAGGGAGCAGAAAGCAGGTTCTTGAAAATAGGGATCATAACTCATTGTGAGGAGTTGTAAGGACAGGACAAGCAGCTGAGCCACTGATACTGCAGTGCACATCTGTCTGCTTGGAGAGGAAGACTGAGGAATAAAACCAGTTTAGGACATTCTCACCTCTACACGTGTGTCCCCACTTTGCTCAGATTACAGCAGATTTCTGCTCACAGTTGTCCTGGATCCCAAAATGGGGTGAACTGTGGCATGGCCAGAGAGCTGGATTAACAGTCCAAAAAAAACCTGTGTGGAGATAGGACAAAGGGGAATGACTTTAAACTGAAGGCGGGTAGGTTTAGTTTAGATATGAGGAAGAAATTCTTTCCTGTGAGGGTGGTGAGGCCCTGGAACAGGCTGCCCAGGGAAGCTGTGGATGTCCCATCCCTGGAAGTGATCAAGGCCAGGTTGGGCAGGACTTGGAGCAATCTAATCTAGTGGAAGGTGTCCCCGCCCACGGCAGGGAGGTTGGAACTAGATGATCTTTAAGGTCCCTTCTAATCCAGGCCATTCTATGATTTTGTGAAGATATGCACCTTGGCAAAAAACATCTGTTTGCAGAACCCTGTTGCAAAGATGTTCCTAAACAGCGTGTCTGCACTGCTGTCCACCCTGCCACAGGGACATGGAACAGCCACACTCCAGGGACATGGAGCAGGATCCATCCAGCCCAACACCTGCCCCCATCTCTGTCTCCATCAGCAATTGCTCGGGAAAGGGCAGGAGCACAGGGCAAGCTGGAGTGGCATTTTCCCAGAATAGTCTTTTGCCCTCAAGCAATTTGCAGTTCATGGACTTCCTGAGCCAAAGATGGTATTTCTGTGGCAAGGAAATCATGTCAAGTATTTCAAAGCCCTTGAAAAAATCAGGAGTTCATCGAGGGGGGAGCACGTGCTGGGTAACCTGCCCGCGGGCCGGGCTGGTTCCAGTGCCCGTTATCCACCTTCAGGTTTGCAGGAGAGATGCCTGGAATGCGCAGAGGGAACAGCGGGTCGGCGGGAGCGGGAGGCGGGCGGGTCGGTCCCGAGTACCGGTGCGGGGCCGCCAGAGGGGGCTCGAAGCCCGCGGGCCGGGAGCGGCTCCGGGACCCCCGGCCGAGCATCCCGGACCCGCCCCGGCCACAGCCCCGCGGGCAGCTCCGGCAGCCCCGAGGGCTCGGGGAGAGCTCGGCAGCCAGGCTGGCAGAGGGAGATCCAGCATCTCGGCAGGGACCCTTGGGCAGCTGCCTCCCAGCCCGCTCAGCCTCCGCGGCGTGTCTTTGCATGAAGACACACGTTCGGCGGTGGGGACTCCGTGCAAAAGTCCCTCTTTGGAAAGCGAGTCGGGAAGCACAGTAGGGATGGAGAGGGATTTTTTTACAAGAGCATGTAGTGATAGGACAAGTGGAGATGGCTTCAAACTGAAGAAGAGTAGGTTAGATTAGATATTAGGAAAACATTCTTTACTATGAGGGTGGTGAGGCACTGGAACAAGTTGTCCAGAAAAATTGTGGATGCCCCATCCCTGGAAGGGTTCAAGGCCAGACTGGATGGAGCTCTGACCAACCAGGTGTAGTGAAAGGTGCCCCTGTCCACCACAGGGGGTTTGGAATTCAATGTTCTTTAAGGTCCCTTCCAGCCCAGGCCATTCCACGATTCTAAGACTCTGTGCTAGAAGTGAACTCCTACGGGTTTGGTGATGAATTCTTGGCACCAAATACACACAAATGTAACCATGTGTGACCTCCTTTATGCATTGCTTTATGGATTACCATTTAAAGATCTGTCAGTGCTGTGTCAGATAGATGTTAATCAGATGGATGTTCTGAGGGACTCAATCTTCAGCTGCTGTGAACTGTAGCAGGAGGACAGGGGCAGCAGCCCAGAAGGGTTGTGAGATACACTGGAGGCACTGAGCCACTTGTGTGCTCACCATTGCTTTCCTGGGCACCTTGGCTCCTTTTTGAGAGCAGCCCCTGGTTTTGCAGGCAACAGAGGAGGCAACAAGAAAGGAAATCTCCAGAGTTTTGCAAGTGTAGCTATGGTAAATACTGGGTCTCCCCTTGCTGTCCTGTACTTATCCAACTAATCTGAGGGGTGCCATTTTAACCATAAGAACCAAGAACCTGAGATAAAATCAATCCCTTCCATGAATCTCATCTGGATCTCACTCACTCCTGCCTGATCTCTAGTCTAGTATGAGATGAAAGTGGGATAGAGACATCATGAGATCCTACAAGCTCCAGCTCCCCTTGCCTAGCTCTAGAGGATCTGATCCCACATCCTCCTCTCCAGCTCTCCCCACCATCACACAGGACGTTCCCCCAGGCTGCCTCCCTGTCCCACAGAGATGTGCAGGCCCTGCATTAGTGCCAGTGATGGAGAGACTCTCCACTGAAGCAGCAGCAGGGGAAGGAGCTGGCACACCCTGCTGTGGCATGTCTGACCCGGGTACAGGGAGTGAAACCCGGCTCATCTGTGAGTGGGAAGGGTTCCATCCTGCACATGCAGTGGTGATGAGCTCTAAGGGATCTCCACCACAAGATACCTAAGCTGGATCACAGCTCACTCCCAAAAGACACATGAGAACTGGTGCAATCCTCGCTGCCCCAGGAGGCAGGAGCTAAACACACTCAGCTGGCCCAGTCAAACTCCTACAACCCCAACTAAAATTCCAGCTCCTAAGCCTGTTTCAAAACTATAAATGTCCCAGGCACTTGCTGGGATAAACAACACACCTGAATTTCTCCAGAAATTCACCCTCAACAGGGAGCCATGTCTCTTCACATCAGTTGATTTTTACACATCTTCCAGCCAGCTCAGTAGACTGAAGGCACATAACATCACCCAGGGATAGTGTGGGTGTTCCTGACACACCTGAAGGGCTCAGAGCCCTGCCAGTGGATGACATTCATCCTCATCCCATGCCCGGTTTAGTCCCTCTGGATAATAGGGTACACAGAGTCTTTCACCTTGAAGTCTCTTTAAACACTTCCCAATGTCATCACTTTCATGGCAAATTCCAAGCACTTACAAGAAGACAAATATGAGCCATAGCATGTAAAGAAATGAAGTAACCATTTTAAAATAGACTAGGGAATATCTACTTTCTGACAAGGGTTTCATTACAGAACATCTGATCACATCCTCTCAGCTGAATTTTTGACTTCCTGTATCCTGCCAATCACTTTCTGACTGGGTCAGATCTTGTTTCTGATTGTTCCTGTCCTATAGAAGTGAACGTATGTGAAATGAAAGTTAACAGTGTATGGCTTATTTTCAGACAGATGTAATACTTCCTCAACTACTCTTTGGATTTTGGCATGAGTTTTAAAATAGGATTCTCAATCTAATCTAAATAAAATGGGAAAATATATCTATCATTGTGATAGAAACTATGGAGGAGGCAAACTTTCTCTAAGCAGTACTTTCCTTTCTGTAGTCCCTTGCCTTGCCCAGGGATCAGAGCTGCCAGTACTCTCTCTGCCTTGAGCCACTCTTTCACTCATTTAGGAGAGACCCCAGCTGCAGCTGGGAAACCATGGATGTCACTGATGGCAACAGCACAGCATCTCTGCTGGGAAGCAGAACTGCCTTGCTCCAGCTTGACCAATGGCTGGTTAGAGGTCTTGCCTCCAGCCTGGTGGGTGATCCCTTTCAATGTGTGCTTAGCAAGCACAATGAGAGGAGAGGTCTCCTTTTAATATCTATGACTGAAACTGGCCTAAGCTGCAGTGTTGAGCAGTCAGTCCCTGGTTAGCTTTGCCAGGGCTCTGCTTTGTGCCTGAGCCCTGCCAGAGGCAGCTGTGATACCAGTACAGCCCAGGGACTGTATCCGTTTTATCACGTGTGTGTTGAGTCCCTTGGATTAACCTTTGCTTACTTACACACCTCAGACTAGATAGTTTGGATGTAATGTGAGGGGAATCTGGTTTGCACAGGTCTTTCTTTGCCCCATTCATCAGCTCTGCTGAGTGTCACCCCTGCCACAGGTAGACTTTAGAAGTAAACGCAAAGACTAAATCTAATAGTCATCAATGCATCTGATGGGATTGCCTGTAACATATTTGCCAGCCTTAGAGTATTTTCAAAAGTCCATAAAATATAACATTTCCTTGCCTATTTTTTCCAATAACCATGCTAATTGGTTGTCCCAGTTGTGCAGATTGCACTGGAACAAGAGGTGTTCTGATTATTCCATTTGTTTATGGTATTAGACTTAAACTATTGTTGATCTTATTGTTCTTATTGGTAACATGTTCGCCTCACTAGGACAGTAATTGTGTCAAGCAAGTTGGAGTCCAATCTGCAGAGCTGAATGTTCAGAACTGCAAAAGAAAGGCTCCAATCTTTCAAGCAGCGGGCATATTACTCCTCCATTTGGATTATTAAATTCTAATTATAGCCTGTTGATCCAGCTACAATGTTGTTTGTAAATCTAAATACAGTTCTCTAAAGCCTGCACTAATATGCATTTTTATTTCTTAACCTATTGATGCTTAGTAAAGAAACACCGGTGTGCCTAATAGAGCAGGTGGAGCTTAACTTGCTTGTGATCAAGCTCTTTTTCTCCTCTGTATTCCTTTGGGTATGTTTAGGAATGAACACTTAACAGCATGGATAACACCAAGAACAACCACGACCAAAGCGTTTCACATAATGCCTTGGGACCTGTGGTCTCACCAGAGCTGGGGTCAGCAAGAAATTCTCCCTTAGGTGAGATTGGTGAGGGCTCACAGGCTTTTTGGGAGGAGGGCAAAGGCAGTGGGGTTTGGTTTCTCTGTGCTGTGGGCAGTTACCCAAGCTCTTCTGGGAATGCACTTAACAATTCCCTCTTACACTAACAGTTCCTTTAGTCTCTTATCTTCTTTTTCTGTAATGTTTCCTGCATTTTGGCTTCTTTTACAGGAGATTTCTGGTTCATCACCCCACATGAAATGGTGTCTGGTGGGGTGCATTGTGTGTGCAGCAGGGTTGGCTGAATCCACATCCACTGACTTCATATAAACCAAGTATCAATGAGCAGTCATCTGTGATGGCCATGCTGAAACTCCATGTCCTTCCAAGCCCTTTTCTGTCCTCTATCTTCGTGAATGTTAAACGCAAGAAAAGCAGAGAAGCCAAAGCCAAGTGGTGTGAGCAGCAGCAGCTCCCAGGAACTGCTGCATTTCAAATGGCTGAAACCTCTGCAGCTCTGAGCTGTGAGTGTCCCTGCAGCATCCTCCCTCACCTGTAGGAGTAGAGGAGTTTTCAGTAAGACATTATCATGATGGATGACTGCCTGAGCCCATAAACCACACTGCCATCACAACCTTATTTTTTCCTCCAAGACTCGTTTTAAGCTCCAGCACAGCTGTGTGCTCACAGCCTCACAAACACCCAGCACGGGCTCTCAGTCAAGCATCTCGTGCCCCCCGTGAGGTGGCCAACTGAGGCTTAACTGCTGGGCATGGAAATCACCAGGCACACACTCAGGATCACCACCAAATCTCAGAGAGCTCCTCCCTGAGCCAGGCACAGCTCCAGGCAGCAAAGCATCACAACATGTCACAAGAGTGGGAAGGACTGGGAAGGGGTTGTGGATGTTTTGACAGGTGGTGTTGGGGAATCAGCCCAATTCCTCCTTCCATCCTTGTCACTCAGAATCCACTGGGGAAGGAAGAGAGGGAGCTGCCCTTCCAAGGGATGAAGTGAAGGTCTCCTAGAGATTTTCTGCTGTGTCTGCCCACGAGAACTTTGACAGGAATTTTGGATACAGATGTCCAAGCAATGAACAGTCACAGCAGGTACTATCCTTTCCCACTGATCCTTTCCCATGGGCCCAACAGGAAAAGTCACTGGGGTCCAGGAGAGGGTGGTGGGAGCAGAAGGTAAAGCTGCTTCCTCTCTTCAAATAGCATCCAAGCTTGCAGTCTTGGCCTGGGCAAACATGGAACAAGGAGTATAAGGATTGAAAGACATCAGGACATTCCAACAACTGGGTTGGGGATGGAATGGCAGACAGTGGTGGAGTTATCTGGAGGGTTGAATGCTCACACACACACATATTCATGCTGAGATGTTCAAGGCAGGGTAGTGCTCCCTCCTGGGAGGAAAAGCACTGTTTCCTTGCAAAGCCCAGTGG